TCCAGCATCAGCTAATGATAGCTAAGCGATTTCGATCTTGATCGATCGCTCTGGGGATCGGGAAGGGAGAAGAGTTACCTTCTATGGGGATAAATGGGATTGTGAAGGTCCGATCCTCCTTGCTGGGGCTAAAAGGCAATTATTCCCCAAGGAGGTTGTTAAATATTCTAATTTTAAATCATACAAAGTCACAAGTAATCACAATACACTCGAAACTTACAACTTGTACATCTGATTTGACGATTGGCATTAGGATGTATTTAAATTCTTTATTGATATTAGAGCTTGAAAAAATATCGAAAGAATAGAAAGTTTGGAAATTTAAGTAATTGCAAAAATATAAAAAATAATATTTTCTACAAAAATAATAAAATCTTTATTTGAAAATATAATTAAAAAGTAGATGTCAAATAATCGTAGATATATTGTAAAATTGCATTTTACATTACCCGATAGCGCCAGCTGGACAATAGTTAAAAAACTACGAATCAAATAGATGGCGCATTTAAAAGTGGCTCCAGCTAGTGTCGAAAATAAATACTCAATTTGCAATCAATTTAAAAATTTATTAACGGTTTTTTGGCATACTTAAAACAATTAAAACAATTATTAAATATAAAATTATAAATGTATAAATAGCTACAAATCTTCCTTTTATTTTTCAAATAAACTTTTATAATTCATAAATTAAATTAAATGTCCCCTAGAGTACTAAAATGTTAGTATATAAACTATTTTTTAAACATAAACTAGATGATTTATACCCAATTTATGTTTATTTTTTTCGACGGAAATCCAAAACATTCTTCGATTAAGAGATTACCATTGCTACCACAACATTGTTTATTTATTTATTTTATGGTGATTTTTTGCGAATTTTTTGTACCATTTTTTATGGGTTCCGCGAACTATAAACCGGGAGTAACGAAGCAAGTAATTCCGGGCCACATGTTGCCATGACCACGCACACCACATGGCGAAGATAGGGATAGTGAGCGATGCGATGAGCAAGCCACTCCACGTTCGGCTATCAGATACAGATACAGATACGCACAGCTCTCGGCAAACTCACAGATACTCGCACACACCGCCGGAAGGTGCCACAAACAAATCAAAGAGTGATTCCGATTTTTCAACGTCTTGTAGCTTTTATTTGGCTTGAGGTTTGCCAAGCATTTCCTGTATTTTACGCAAATAGTTTGTTTGTTTCTTTTAAGTATTTATAGTGTTACAAGAATCAACACTAGTCACTATAATTTTGCGGAAATTCATCATTCCCGTTTCCCCACAATTCTAATCTCTTATTGCTGAACCTCTCAAGCAAATTAAAAATGTTTTAAAAAATCGATGTATCATGGGAAATAAAAATTAAGAATTTTATAAAGATTATTTATTTATTTCCAAACTTTTAAACATTGACTGAAAACATATTTCATTAGAGATAGATTCCTAAAAGTATTGTAATTTCTATTGTTTGTTTAAAACCTATTTTGTTGCCCATAAAAGCCAGTACTTATTATTTAACTTTGATAAAAGTCTTAACAAGAGGATGTTTTTCTTAGTAAAAAATACATCAAATATAAATGTACAATGTAATAATATAATATTTTAATATATTTTTTTCAAAATGTAAACTGTCTAGGTATTTTTCCTTTGTTTTTTGTTGTGGAAGAAAGAATTCGCTGTTCAAATATTTCTTACACTCACAACTCTGCTACATTTAAACCATGAATTTAACTATCAATTAAAGTTATTAATTAAGTACATTTGCTTCTTAGAACTTAGAACTTAAAACTAGTATTATATAGTACCGTCGATCACCGTGATCGCTCGCTGGAATCACGGGCGCATCACTGGCGCACGCAGAGAGCTGAAAAGTATCTGAGAGATACTTTCGCAGCAAAAGCAAAAGCAAAAGCAAAGGTGGCCGGGCCGGCCGCTCACTCTCGCATCGGATCGTATCGGATCGGTTAGTTCTTGGACGGATTTCAACGTTTTTCGACGTTTGTTCTTTGCACCGAGCCCAAAACGAGCGTGCTCAGTTAAAAAGGCATAGGAATAAATAAAAACGAAAAACGCAGCAATTTGTTAGATAAATTAATTCGCCGCTTGGAGGGAAAAAGTGAAATTGCACATTATGAAATTGGTTTAATTATTTTCTGTGCGTGTTTGCCAGAGCTTTATTATCTTATTATTTTTTTTTTTCGTGAATCGACCTTTGCGAACTTATCGTCGTAACCAGCAAAAAAAAATAAAAAATAGCAGCAATGACAACAACAACGAGGGCTAATAATAATTAAACAGCGTGTGTTGTTGTGTGCTCACCGAACTGTCGGTGTGTGCGTGACCGAGTATCTGTGAGCGAAGTAGAGTGTGTGTGTGTTGTCTTTCTGCGGAGACGTCCAATTGTCAACAGTCAACAATTGCGTTTGGGTTCCCCTCCAGTCGAGATCCCCCCACAGATACTCCTACTCCATTTGCACGCCCCTATAATATAATAAACTCGTAATACTCCCCTAATAATAATCCTATCATCCGATCATCCGATCGATGCGAATTGCATGGGCCCAACAACCGGACAGCAAGAACACAGTAAAGGCGAAAAAGGCGAAGAAGCGGAAAAAGTGCTAACCGTGCAATCGACGGCAACTTGATCGGTTAGGAACAGGTGAGTTAAGTATAGTATGTTAAGTACTGTTAAGTATTTCCATTAAGGTCGATACCTGAGGCCCAGCCTAAAAAACCTGGGTACTGCATGTGCGCAACTTCAGGCCGGTGGGGGATTTCAAACTTGAATGTTATCAATGAAACCGAAATGAGTTTTAGTTATATATAAGTTTGAAAATAAAAAAAAAACAATACTAGAAAAATTATTATATGTTATACGTAATAAACTGAGTTAGTTACTTTAAAAAATATTTTACAAAAATATATGGTACCTACAATTTAATCTTATAAATTCTTGGCAATCAATGAAACACCTACCAGACTTTTCGTAACGATTAAAATATATACTCCATGCAAAAAGTAGAATTATGTTATCAAATTCATTCACCTTCAACAATCTTGGTCCATTAAGATTGTTCACAAATTTTTGCAGAAATATTATATTATTCTTACACTTTAAATAGTCTTCCTTTGCTCTGTCGCAAGTACTATCGAATCTGGGAAATCTCAGCCTCAGGCAAGAGCGAACACAGAACCAGACTTGCTTAAATGCCTCAACTTGCTGTCAAGGTCCGAGAATCCGAAACGAGACTCGAACACTTGGGCATTAAAAAGTTCATTAAACGAATTCAGCGTCTGCCTGGATTCTTATACCCTTCCACCGGCCGAGCTGATTATTCTCAAACAGATAAGCCAGGGCGAAAAATTTCAATAAATCAAAGTAGTATTTACGCGCGGAACCTTATCGCGAATCGGTGCTATAGCTAATATATAGAAAATAAAAGTTGTGCCAAGTTAAGATCAGTGTAGAAACAGGGGCGGCGGTTGCATAAGAGACGCACGCACAGGGGGTTAATCGACCACTAAGGTCGCACCTGTACAGGTGACTCAGGGAATGGAGAGAAGGTCAAATGCTTGTGCGTCAAGAGCATGCTAAACTACACGGCGAGAAAAACTAGTCCACATTATTTGTTTAGAGTCTTCTACTAAAATGTATACTACTTAAATAATATTTCCTTTTCAAATGAGCAATAGTGAGATGAGTTTCCAAAATACCAACGTTTTTTTTCTGTTTAACTAAAAACCAATGGTTGCTGAGCTAATGGAATGGCAGCGCCTTCCGTTTATTTCTAATGTGTGCTCCAGTTTACGTTTGCCGGCCTTTGATTTGTAAACCAAATAGTTTCCCAAGCTGTTTGTTTATTTAATTAGCATTCGGTTATGTGTATGCGACGCACTGGCCCCTGGAGAACAGAAGTGAGGTCCCCGAGAGACCAAGGTGTCCGTAGCGCTCTAGACTCGCGGACAAGACGGACAGGCGGATCCGTTCAATTGCACGGTGACCAATTTACAGGGGCCAACCGTCTCAATTTATAAATAGATTTAGAGTCTCCACGGCACCCCGCTCAGTCTGGCAAGTGCAGCGTTTATTTTCAATCTCGATCTCGGCTCAAGTGTCCGCGCCTCTCGAAGATCGGGGGCACCGGACACCAGTATCCATCCGAGGCTAATGGAAAACAATTCCAGGAAAAAACGGCACCAACTCAAATATTTGCGGAACCACTCAAACGTCAAATTTCGATTTTACTCACGCAGCGAGTGGATATGAGAACTTGAATCATAGGTACATAGATGAAATTCGATTTCGGAGAAATTAGTTGATTTTATCATTGAACGGGCTATGGTTTTATATATCTCGTATTTTTATCTCTCTTGTGAAATTTCTAAAAGAAACAGAAAGATTACTAAATTAAATATAAAGTAAATCATTTTTGCGACATACCAGCTTTTTAAATTTTAAATGAAAATGGAGCAGTTTACTTGCTACAGTAATTTTCTTAATTTTTAATTCTTTATTATTTAAATTAATTTTTCATTTTTATCGTGGTTTAAATTTACCCCTTTACTTTTACTTTCCCCTGAAATTTATTTCAATAATTTCCATTGCACATGGCACTTGGGGCTTCGTTAGGGAGCATACACAGTGAGAAACTGTTGTAGATTTGAAGTATCTTTTATTATTAAGTTGAATTATTATTATATATAATATATATATTTTTTAAAATAGATTTTTGGCATTTGATCTAGGGTTCCCATTTGATAGTAATAAATATATTTAAAAAATACTTTGTTTAATGAAGCTCATGAGATATTTCAATATGGATTATTAATTTTTCCCAGCGTAGACTGGATACTACTGATCGGATGAGTAATATTTCCGGCTGCCATGGCACGTGCCACTAATTTATAGAACGCTCCCCTTTTCTCTTTTTTTTTCCCCACGCACAGAGATTCCCATGAGAGGCGCTCACTGATCCACCGATCCTCCAACCACCGATATATCCACATCCACGATGCTGCAGCACACGATGACGAAGCGCAAGACGCTGATCATCGCCTGCTTCGGGATCGCCCTGGGCCTCTGCATCGGCACGGTGCTGAAGAACTACCGGGCTTTGGAGATCGTGAAGCGATGCAGCCTGAGGCCGACGAACCTCAAGTCGCCGGCGGAGATCATCGGGCTGCGGGAGGAGGACAGCATCCAGAACTCGCAGCGGAATCTCGTCTTCGTGGGCGTGATGACCGCGAAGAGCTTCCTGGAGGGCAGGGCGCGGGCGGTGTACGATACGTGGGGCAAGGAGGTGCCCGGCCGGATGGCCTTCTTCAGCTCCGAGGGCAGCTACTCGGAGGATCTGCCAGTGGTCGGACTGAAGAACGTCGACGATCGCTATCCGCCGCAGAAGAAGTCCTTCATGATGCTGTACTACATGTACGAGCACTACATCGACCGCTTCGAGTGGTTCATCCGCGCCGACGACGACGTCTACATGGAGCCGGACAAGCTGGAGCGCTTCCTGCGCTCCATCGACAGCTCCAAGCCGCAGTTCATCGGCCAGGCGGGCAAGGGCAACAGCGAGGAGTTCGGCCTGCTGTCCCTCGAGTTCGACGAGAACTTCTGCATGGGCGGACCCGGGGTGATCTTGAGCAGCGAGACCCTGCGCCGCGTGGCGCCCCACATTCCCAGCTGCCTGAAGAACCTCTACAGCACCCACGAGGACGTCGAGGTGGGCCGCTGTGTCCAGAAGTTCGCCGGCATTCCCTGCACCTGGAACTATGAGGTAAGAGACTATTAGGGATATAAAACAAGTAGAATTCTGATAAAATATAGATCCTTATGGGATTCTTTGCTTTTTGTATGATCAAAAGATTTAATCTAACAAGAAAAAAAAACATAGTAATAATAATTTCAAATTAAGGTATATTAAATTCAAAGTTTTGTAAGACTTATTAAAATTAAATTAAATAACGTAAAAAATATATTAAATGGCATGATTTCATTTAAATGTATTAAAATAAAGGTAGAAAATATTACATTCGATTTTAGTCAAATATACTTTAAATATTTTACGTCTTTAAAAAGAATTTTATTTCAAATCAAAGTTTAAAATGTTGAAATTTACAATAATAGTTTAATTAAAATTTGTTTATTTGAAAACCATATTTTAAAACAATGCAAAAAATATACATTTATTTTTTGAAACATATAAACTAAAATAAATAATATAAACTAATAAGATTGTTGATATAAATCATTCAAGAATATTCCCATAAGTTCCTGTATTTTATTTCAAACTATTTCATTTTGATCCAGTAAATATTTATTTATATATTTTTTAAAAATATACTTTACTTTCCACCTTATAGATGCAGTACATCCTGCGACACAATTCGAGTGGCCGAAATGCGTACACTGGAAAACTGAAGCGCAAGGAGATCCACAACGCCATCACCCTGCATCCCATTAAACAGGCGCCGCTCATGTACCGCCTGCACTCCTACGTCCAGGTGGGTTTCTAATTATATTATATAATTTAATCCAATAATTAATCTATAAACAAAATAAAAAACAAGGGTCTGAAGGCCGAGGAGATGCGCCAGGAGTCGCTGCTCCTGCATCGGGACATCAAGCGGATGGCCAAGTACCTGGAGGTTCCCGACGAGAGCACCTACATGCTGCCCAGCGTCTCCCCGGAAAGCGATTCGGGCAAGAGGCACTTCCAGGACCACAACATTTTGGGTGAGTTTTAGAAATTAGAAATTAGATATTAGGAAATTCGGTTGGGAGAAACATTTCGTGTGTATTTGAAATAACTGAAAACCAATAAATTTACACATCTCTGGGAAATAACTAAGAAGAATCGGAATCAGAAGAATCAGGATCTGCATCGGTATCCCTGTTCTGATCCTTATCCTGGCTGCAGACGGTGACTCCACTGCCCAGGCAGGCGGCATAGCCCATCAGGTGCGGCAGGAGATTCTGCTCCATGACGCCGCCGAAGAGGTGAGACTGCGGTCCCATGGCAAAGACGGCCACATCCTCGCCAGAATGCACGCCCTTGCGTCCATGAATATAGCTGGGCGTGTAGGAGGCTGGGTTGAAAGAAAGGGAAAGATTATAATTAATATCATTTTGGAAATTATCAAATATTTCCTTACAATCTTGAATCTGATTTTGCGTGGAGTTTTTCTATACAAGCACTGATGAAAAACCTTGTTAACCCAAGACTTTACATTCAATTTAAATATTTTTGGCTACGTTTTTATATACTTTAAATTGGAAATGATTAACAATTATGGTTGGATTAAATATTTTAATTTCAAAAATAAATTCTTCTTTTTAATGACGTAAAATATTTAAAGTAAATATGGCTAACATGGAATCTACTATTTTCGACCATGATTCAAATATTTTCAAATTAAATAATTTTTTTTTCCTTAAAATGTTACGTTTGTTAATTAATTGAAATATGCATCTTTGCATTTAATATTATAATATTTATTATACTATTTTTATTTTTTGAATCAGTAATAGTATTTCCTAATGGCATTGCATCCCAGCGGGAAAAAGCACGTGGTAAATATGTTATTTTCATGAGTTTTCTCCGTATAAGCGAAAAAGTCAAATTCTCATTCACCCCTTACATTTCTTCCTCCTCTGTTTGCGAAATACACAGGAGTGACACAAAAAGTGAGGGGTGAATGAGGTTGGTAGGTGGTTTTCCATAGGAATTTGCACTTTCCTACACCATTGCCTGCTAAAAGGAACATGTTTTCCAACTGCCTAATAAAAGGAACATTCTAAGAACCACCTTCTCCCTAGAAGATCAGTAGATTCTATACTCACTGGGACTCAGCGTCTTGCCGGGACTCTCCCTGCGGCCCTCCTTGTCCAGGCTCTGCCACTTGCCGATGGCGTAGTTGAGGGTGCTGTAGGGCACCCCGTCCAGATCCCGCTGCTGGATGTCCATGCCCAGGATGGGGGTGCCCCGCCTGGCATAGCCGGCCATGCTGAGCGTGTGCGAGTGATCGGCGGTGACCACGAGCAGCGTTTCCCGCGGATCGGTCATCCCCAGCACCGTTTCCACGGCCGCATCGAACTCGAGCATCTCGTCCAGCGCGTAACCCACTCGCGTCTCGTGGTGACCATGATCGATCCTCCCGCCCTCGATGAACGCAAAGTAGCCGCTTCCTCCATCCTCCTGGGACCTCTGCTCCAGCCTCTCGATGGCCGCCGCTGCCATCTCGCAGAGACGCGGCTGCTCCTTGCTGGCGGCTAAATGATAGGACATGTGGCTGTCGCTGAAGATGCCCAGCAGGCTGCCGTTGGTCTCCGTGTCCGCGGTGCAGTTCCTCAGCTCCTTCAAGGTGCGAGCATAGCAACCACCGGGATGATCCTCCCGCCACTGGGAGAGCAGATCCTTGCCATCCCTCCGCTCGTCGGCGAACTTGCCCAGACCGCCGCCCAGGATGACATGGAGCTTGCGGCCCGGCTCCTCCTCCACCAGCTGGCGGGCAATCTCCAGCTCCTCGCCGCGCCGACGGACATGGGCATAGGCGCCGGCGGGACTGGCATCGGTCAGCCGGGTGGTGGTCACCACCCCGGTGGCCTTGCCCGCCCGCTGGGCCCACTGGAGCACCGATTCCACCCGCTCGCCGCTGGCACTCTGGCCCACGGTGCCGCTGCGCGTCTTCACGCCGCCCAAGTAGGCGGTGGCCGTGCAGGCGGAGTCCGGTGTCTGCTCGTCGACGCAGTACGTCTTGCTGAGGCCGGCGAAGGGGAATCGCTCCACGGCCAGCTGGGCCTCCTCGCCGCTGCCGCCGCGCCGCTGGCCCTTGAGGATGCGGGCGGCGGTGAGGGTGGTCACCGAGAGTCCGTCGCCCAAAAACATGACCACGTTCTTCGCCCGTCGACTGTCGCCGATGAAGTCCTTGGTGCGCGCCAGGCGTTCGCACAGCTGATCCTGCGCCTGGCGCATCCAGAAGGACGAGAGGTGCTCCTCGTCTGCCTCTGCTGCCTTTCCAGCGGCAGTCGGGTATCCAAGGAGAACGGGGATCAGGATCAGGAGCAGCGGGTTCGCTAGTTGGAGCGGCATCTCGACTCGGGTTTTTTTTTGGCCGGCACGAATCGAATCCGATCTGAATGTCGGCTGACTGTCGGTCGCCCGTTTTAAAGGCCAACTCCGTCGGGGAATATGGAGTTAGCTCACCGGAAAGTTAACCACCCCCCGGGGCTTCTTGCCATTAGAGCCCAATTAGCATTGGCCCAGTTCCGGGGGCCCATGGATAGGATAGATAAGCTCACCCCGATATGTACTGTATACCCTGGGAAAATGATCAAATTCACTTGGTTGAGGGGAGAACCTAAATGAGCTCTAAATGGTGGTTCAAGATCTATTCCCTTATCTGTTCAAAACAGTATGTATTTTTGGTGTAAGACCATTTTTGACCAAGTTACAGTAAAAAAAAACTAAAAGAAAATTTCAAATTTTTACCAAAAACACAAACCCCAATTTTTTTACAAAAAATAAATGGTTTTTTGACCGTGACAATGGAAATCATGGATTGTTATACCTTTCCGAACTCGTTATTAAATTTCCAATCGATTGACATTTAAAACTGGACATTTTATTTTTTGAACATTTTTCGCAAAAAATCATGATGTATCCCCTTACAAAAAAAATGAAAATTGGCGAAAATTGTATTTTTCCAAAATCACACGGAAAGTGTCATGGATTTATTTCTAATTTTGTTATCTGTTCAAAACAGTATGTATTTTTGGTGTAGGACCATTTTTGGCCAAGTTACAGCAAAAAAACAAATAGAAAAATGTCTTTTTTTTACCAAAAACCCTGATGCCAATTTTCCACAAAAAAATAACTCGTTTTTTTACCGAAACATTTTTCTCTCATTATTTAAAAAAATACATTAAATACTTTTATATTTTCTGTGCATTTTATTATTTAATTATTATTCATATTCCACCGCAAAAAAATTCTTTCCCGTCCGCAGGAATCAGTCCGGAACTAAATAAATTCGTGCCCGGCAGCACCGACGACCTCCTGGAGTGGTCCTTCATCGCGCGCAGCCTGTACTCGGCCACCTCGGCCAATCCCAAGCAGAAGATCGACTCGGCGATGCGCGAGGGCCTCGAGGACGTCATCACCGAGGTGATGGAGAACATCAACAACTACTCCCGGCAGCGGGGTCGCGTGATCGAGTTCCGGGAGCTGCTCTACGGCTACCATCGGCTGGACGCCCTGCACGGCCAGGATCTGATCCTGGACCTGCTGCTCATCTACAAGAAGTACCGCGGCAAGAAGATGACGGTCCCGGTGCGCAGGCATCTCTATGTCCAGCGGGCCTTCACGGGAATCTTTGTCAAGGAGTTCGACGAGGACTTTTACAACGTCACCCTGCAGCAGAGTGAGTGGATATTACTATTACTATAAAATCATAATCTATCAATACAGAACCCACACCCAAAAAAAACTTCATATGAAACGATAATCATTTTGATATTAGCTATAATAAATTTTTGACTTAATATGCGGCTTGTCAATTCGATATGCTCGCATATTTCATATTGAGAGAATTAGTTCTTCTCGCTCTTACTCGCGCAATTCAAGCCGCCATATTGCTTATTGCTCTCTTTTTCAAAGTCAGAGAATATTCGAGAGAGAGAAATCGGTAAAATGATATTATTTAATATAAATTTTACCAGTATTTCATGGTAAAAACGACATGAAATAATAAAGTTGATAAAATAATTATAAATTATAAGTATTATAGACTATTGTATCATTTCAATCTCATTAGTATAAGATTTATCTTTAAATATGTTTCAAAATTTCGGTTTTATTTTATTTATTTAAAATAATAAAATTGATAAAATAATTATTAATTATAAGTATTATAGACTATTTTATCAATTTAATCTCATTAGTATAAGATATATCTTTAAATATGTTTCCAAATTTCCGTTTTATTTTATTTATTTAAAATAATAAAATTGATAAAATAATTATTAATTATAAGTTTAATAGACTATTGTATCAATTCAATCTTATTAGTATAAGATATATCTTTAAATATGTTTCCAAATTTCCGTTTTATTTTATTTATTTAAAATAATAAAATTGATAAAATAATTATTAATTATAAGTTTTATAGACTATTGTATCAATTCAATCTTATTAGTATAAGATATATCTTTAAATAGGTTTCCAAATTTCGGTTTTATTTTAAGTTTTCTAAGTTTTTAAATATATTTACATAGATTGTTAAATAGTAATTGGAAATTTCTCCCTTCAGGTCTCCTGGGCAGCCTCTTCCAGAACGGCATGGCCCGCCTGAGCAGCCACTTCACGATGCCCAGCGGCCTGCTGGCGCCGACGCAGGACAAGATCGTCTTCGTCCTGCCGATCGCCGGTCGCCTGGGGACCTTCGAGCGCTTCCTGCGCACCTACGAGCGCGTCTGCGTGCGCGGCGAGCAGCACTGCGACCTCCTGGTGGTGATCTTCGGCCCGCCGGAGCAGCTGGGCGAGCACCTGCAGCTGCTGCACGATCTGCATGCCCGGCATGTCTACCAGCAGGTCAACTGGATCCAAAGGAGCAGCGCCTTCTCGCGCGGCGTGGCCCTGGATGTGGCGGCCAGATCCTCGTACATCCGGCAGGAGGACATCATCCTGTTCATCGACGTGGACATGGTCTTCGAGGTGGAGACGCTGCAGCGGGTGAGGATGCACACGCAGCGCGGCAAGCAGGTGTATCTGCCGATTGTCTTTAGCCAGTACGATCCTCAGAGGAGATCCTCCAACGGGAAGGAGGAGGAGCAGGCGGAGGAATCCCCGAGAATCGACGATGAGAGCGGCTACTTCCGGCAGTTTGGCTTCGGGATCTGCGCCATCTACAAGTCGGACATCCTCGACGAGGACATCAATGGCTTCGACAAGGACATCACCGGCTGGGGCCTGGAGGATGTCAAGTTTCTGGAGAAGATCGTGCGCGTGGGCACCCGGCAGCGTGGCTTCCTGGCCAACACAGCCGAGCTGGCCATGGATTACAACGAGGCCGCCGAGCAGTGGCGCCGGCTGAGCGTCTTCCGGGCTCCGGATCCCACGCTCGTCCACATCTACCACGAGATCAGCTGCGACACCCGGCTGGATGCCCCGCAGTACAACATGTGCCTGGGCACCAAGGCCAACTCGCTGGGCAGCACGCGGCTGATGGAGCAGCTCTTTCACGGCAGTCCGCCGAATGTCCAGTTTGCCGCCGACTTCAATCGCCAGAAGCAGCAGCAACAGCAGCAGGCCAGGTGATGATGGATTTAAATCCAGAGATCCAGATCCAGATCCCTTCCAGTGATCCCCGCCAGCGATCCTGCCACATAGTATTATGCTAAATGTTTCCTAAATTAATGAGCCAGCCGAAATGCCAAATCAATTCGTTAGTCCCTAGACCTAAGCTAGAAAAACTAATGATCCATACTTTCATATTCAGTGATGGGATAGGATGGGTAAGAAATTGTAAATTACTAGGATAATATATAAATAGAAAATACTTTTATCCTAACTCTTCTTAAGTAACTCAACTCCATACTCTTTTACTTATTTATTCCATATTTCCAAGTCAAGTTCTAATGATGTTAATGGATGTAATAAATATAAAAAGTAAAACATAAACTTATTCCTAGCAGTCAATTAAAGTTTTTTTTATCTTCTAGTGATTTTTTTTATTTTAATAAAACCAATTGTAAATTTTATAAGCGTTAAAAATGGGGTAAAACCGGATATAAATTAAAAATTTAAGATGAAGCGTGGTTTCGATTAAGTTAAATATTCCACCTACTCACTTCCCATCACTGTAGGTAGCTAAGAATTTTCTATATTTAATTCAAAAATACCTTATCTAAAGAACTTGATTATAAAAAAACTGTATTCCAATAACCAAAATTGGGTTGATCAAAGATATGCATTCAGATAAACGACTTAATTGTATAAAGTAGGTTTTTATTATAAAATAAAATCGAAAGTCTTTCGTTTGACATTTGTTTTGTAACATAGGCGGATTTCTGCATCCTGTTTAAGTCTATAACTATGATTATGTTGAGATCTATTTTTAAAAATAGAGATTATGTTATATCAATATCAAATTGTTATTATTTAAAAGATCACATGGTTACTTTTATTTAAGACCGTTTACTGTTTGAACAGTATTCGGTTATCGTCAGGTTATCGTCGTTAAATTAGCCTCAAATTAGCCTCTTTTATCTCTATTTAATAGATGCTAAAGATGGTATGGATACTGTAGATGCTATAGATACTATAGATGATATAGTTGCTATAGATATTATAGATATTATAGATACTATAGATACTATAGATACTATAGATACTATAGATACTATAGATACTACAGATACTACAGATACCATAGAACCTAAAGATACTACACATACTACAGATCTATACAAACTCGATGGGCTCTATGCCGAGCAGCGAGAGCGCGATATTCAGCACCTGGCGCACGGCCATGATGAGGTACATCCTGGCGTAGACGACCGGCATGAGCTGGACGCGCTGCTGGACGAGCACCTTCTTGTGGCGATAGTAGCGACTGAAGACGCCGGCCAGGTTGTCAATGTAGCGGACCAGCAGATGGACGCCGCACTGGCCCTGCTGCAGGTTGTCCATCAGGGACTCGAGGAGCTCCGGGAAGGTGAGGAGATAGCCATAGATGAGCTGCCAGTCCATCTGGAAAATATAATAGATGAAAACTGTTAGATAAATAGAAGGAATACTAGATCTAAGCGGATTTACATCATCCTCCAGAATGCTGAGATCGATCTCTTCCAGCGGCGGCAGTGGCTCGTAGTGGCCGGCGTTCACCAAACCAGCAAACGTGCGCAGCAGCGTCTCCAGCCGCGCGGAGTTGTACAGGATGTACGAGGCTCCCTTGGAGCTGCCCAATCCATTGCGCACCACAATGGCGGCGGTGGCGTGGCGCACCTCGAACAGATCCACGATGACGGCCGCCTCGCCGAGCCGCTTCATCAGCGTGTCCAGGCTGCCCAGGCCCGCGGGACGGATGCCACTGCGGTGCATGGCCATCAGACGCATGTGCGTGGAGCGCAGCCTGCAAAAGAGGGGAAACCTTGATGAGAAATGCTTAGTTAAAAGCGGATCTACCCACTCCAAATAGTCATCCAGGCACAATCCAGTGGCCGTCTTCTTCACGGGCTCCAAAACGGGGCCGCTGACGACGCAAACGTGATCTTTGGAACACTTTTGCGACTCAACCATCACGCAAAAGGTGTCCTCCAGGCGATCCTTGGATTCCACCAGCTGCCAGGGTGAGTATTCCGCCAGGCGCCGCATGATCTTGTAGAGCTGCTGCAGACGATAGTCGCGCAGCTCCACGGAGGAGCCCTCGGCGGTGGTGTTAATCCCCAATTGCAGGCACATGGTGGGCGAATCCTGCGACTTCTTGGGACGCCCGTAGTCGGCAGCCTGGCTGAGCACCGAGCGGAGCACATGGGCGATGACGGGACGCCGCTGGAGGTGCAGGGCATACCGCTCCTTGCGCAGCACGCAGATCTCCGCCAGCGGAAAGCGCCACTCGCGGGAATGCTCCACCAATTCGCGACGCTCCTCTTCGCCGGGCAGCAGGAGCTCCGCGGGGCGGCGCAGGACGCACTCCTGGCGGCTGGCAAAGTTCTGCCAGTAGCGCGCGATGGCCGCCAGGCTGAGGTCGCCCTGCTCGGCCAGATCCTCGTTGTTGTAGCGCAGGATCTCGCCGCATCTCCGCAAGCGCGACGGAGGCAGTGCATCGGTGGGCGAGGCCTGTTCCAATGGCCTGGCGAAGAACTCGAAGAGCTGCTGGCTAAGCTGCGACAGCGGATTGCAATCCATGATCAGACTTACAACGGAATCTTGGCAATAAATGGAAATAATAGGGTAAATAGGATTTTGAGCAAAAACCGCGAGGAAGCAGGCAAAAATACCAAAGAATAAATACCAGAAACCGCATTCATTCATTCCTGGTTGCTGTCTCAGCTAACATATCGGTATATATCGCATGAGGTACCGAAGAGCTGCTGGCTACGCTGCGACAGCGGATTGCAATCCATGGTCAAACTTACAGCGGAATCTGGGCAATAAATGGAAATAATAGGAGAAATAGGTTTTTAAGAAAAAACCGGGAGGAAGAAGGCAGAAATACCAAATAATAAATACCAGAAACCGCATTCATAAGGCGTGGAGTGTGTCTCCGCTAGATCAGACATCACTGGTTGCTGTCTCAGCTAACATATCGATATATATCGCATGAGGTACCGAAGAGATGCTGGCTAAGCTGCAACAGCGGATTGTAATCCATGGTCAAACTTACAGCGGAATCTGGGCAATAAATGGAAATAATAGGGGAAATAGGTTTTTAAGAAAAAACCGGGAGGAAGAAGGCAGAAATACCAAAGAATAAATACCAAAAACCGCATTCATAAGCCGGGGAGTGTGTCTCCGCTAGATCAGCCCTTCCTGGTTGCTGTCTCAACTAATATATATCGATATATATATATCGCTTGAGGTACCATCACCAGTTGTGTTTTATTTTTTTTGTGCCTACGCTTGTGAGGATTTCTGGATTCGATTCCCCAGCCAAAAGCAGGAAGATGTCCAACAACCTGGAGCCGCGGGTGGTGGACCTGGGCGTGGCCTGCCTGGTCTGCCTGATGGAGGAGCCCGAATCCAGTTCGATTTACACCCATGACCCCGAGTCGCCGCACATGCTCATTCTGGACAAGATTCGCTGCTGCACGGGTCTCCAGCTGGAGGGCAGCCCGTCGCAGCTGCAGAGCTGGCCGGACAAGATCTGCAAGCAGTGCTACCTGGAGCTTTCCGTCTCCTATCGTTTCCACGAGAAGTGCGCCGCCGTCCAGAAGCTTTTCCACACGGCCAGCAGCGCATCCTCCTCCTCCTCCTCGCAGCTCCTGGAGCAGCCACAGCTCAAACTGGACCAGCTGCGCCTGCCGGCCACCCTGAAGATCAAGCGGCTGGACCTGGAGCCCGAGTCGCAGTTCTACCAGGACGTCGTCGAGGAGGAGGAGTCGCTGCTGCCGGAGGGAGCCATGGTTTTGTCCCTCAACGAACTGCAGGAGCAGCAGCAGCAGCAGGAGCAGGATCCCATCAGGCAGCAGGAGGAAACCGAGGAGGAGGAGGAGGATCAGGAGCTGGCTGTGGATCCCTGGGAGGAAGAGAACGAGGAGGACAACACTCCAGAGCATCTGTACGAGATTGAGACGCCGCTGATGGAGGAATCCCTTCCGGATAGCCCGCCATTGCCGTCGCCGCCGCAGCTAAAGAAACGCTCCTCCGTGGCCACCAAAAAGGCGGCCAATCCTGACGAGGATTACAAGCCCGCTGCCGGAAACAAACGCCGCCACGAGCGCTCGCCGAAGATCTGCGATGTGTGCGGCAATACGTACAAGTACCAGCACGCTTTGAACGCCCACATGCGGCGGCACAACAACGAGCGTCCGTTTCCCTGCGAGGTATGCCAAAAGGCATTTATCTCGAACGTCGAGCTGCGCCGCCACATGCGCGTCCATACGGGCCAGAAGCCCTACAGCTGCCGCTACTGCGAGCGGCGATTCTCGGACTTCGGGAGCAGCAAGAAGCACGAGAGGATCCACACCGGCGAGCGGCCATATGTGTGCGAGGTGTGCCACAAGGGATTCGCCTATGCTCATGTGCTGTCCGTCCACCGGCGGACGCACACGGGCAAGAAGCAGTTCCAGTGCGGCCAGTGCGACAAGGGATTCACCAAGAAGAGCTACCTTGCGGCGCACATGGAGCAGCACAGGGGATCGGGGGCTGCTGGTCTGCCCGGGAATCGCAGGGACGTCGAGCGCAAGGCCCAAGTTCCCCAAGAGAAATTCGCTTTGGATTCCGCCGTGGTGCTCGAGCAGACGAAAGTGCTGGAGGAGTGCATCGTGGCCAACGACTTTATGTTCCACGAGGAGGAGGAGGAGAATCCCGAGGAGGAGCACGAGGAGCCCTATCCGGAGCCGGACTTCGACGACGTCGATGGCTATCAGAGCGTGCGATCGGTCAAGGAGCTCGTCGGCGATCTGCTCGACACCGAGGAGTTTGTCGACGACTCCAAATACATGATAGACTAGTTGCTAGTATTGCCCATTTATATTACAAAGGCCCCCAGAAATTCCCCACCTTCCCGTAGTCTTTAGTCAGCCATGTAAGAAATCGGTGTAAATAAAGCGAAACGATATTCAGAGATGCAAGTTAATATGTAGGATTTACTGGATGTCTAGGAGATATAATATTACTAATGGAAAATAATTCAATAGCCTCGGATAACTGAATATTATCTTTGTAAATTTGCTTTCCAACAATGTTTTTCTAGCTATTTATTAGAACAAATAAATATCTCGAGTATTTTACTATTTTAAACTTTCGATTTTTATATTTTACAGAGCTATTAGGTTTACAGATTAATAAAAAAATTTAAAAAGTCAAACTATCTTTGGGTGAACTCTAAATTCAATATCTCTAATATTTTACTACTTTATAGTTCGATTTTAATATTTTACAAATAAATTCGAAAAATTAAACTATCTAAGGATAAACTCTAGATTCATATATCAATATTTCGGGTATTAAACTATTTTTAGTTCGATTTTGATAAACTCTTAATTTTGTACTATTTTATAGTTCGATTTTGATATTTTACAGAGATAAACTTATTACAGATCTTTACAGATTTATCAAATAAATTGGGAAAATCAAACTATCTATGGGTAAACTCAAATTTCATATATCAATATCAATATCTCGAGTATTTTATTATTTTAAACTACGATTTTGATATTTTACAGACATAAACTTTTTACAGATTTATCAAATAAATTCGAAAAGTCAAACTATCTTTGGGTAATCTCTAAATTCATATATCAATATCAATATCTCGATTATTTTACTATTTGATAGTTTGATTTTGATATTTTACAGTAATAAACCTATTACAGATTTTCCAAATAAATTAGATAAGTCAAATTTCATATCCAAAATTCATATTTTTCTTAAGCCGGGCGACTGAGCAAACTATAGTCAGCAATTCACAAAACTGATATGGCTCATTTGAAGGCCATGATAATGATATAGTCAAAACTCAGACCTGCTTTCTTTTCGGCACGTACTTGAGTTTACCTTTAAGTTTTGATCCCCCCGTTTCAAACCCCTCTTCCCATCGAATAAAGCAAAAAAAACCGAAATTCTTTCTAAGCAAACTGAGTAAACAGAAGATGCTGTTTTGTGGCGAAAGAAGACCGAGTGCCACGAAATCGAATTTTCGGCTGCCTAAGCCGAGAACAACTGTGCAAATTGTGCACAGTGAGCACCCAATAAGAGAGACGCAAGTGGCTTTAAATTCTATCTAGTTTATTACATTACTCGGGTTAGTCAGTTATTGAGAAACGCGGACCAGGCAGGGGGATAATTGTTCTAGGGTGGCGCGTCCACGCTAGCCAGTGGCCACTGTGGCAACGCGGAGACTTGGGAACCGAACTTGGCCACGTTCTTCAACCGGTTTCTGTTTTCCAACCGGCGGGTCAACGTTTCGCCCTTCGGCATTAACATAATTCATAGTTTACAAAAAGTATCCACATATATATAATAGTAATGTATCAAAATTTAGTCGGTAGGGTTAGGAATTTGGATTCCTCTTCAGTTGTAGCAATAAAACTTGAAAGCTAATCCTCGAAGGTGATGCGTCCGGGTCCGTGGTTCTTCATGTACCGCCTGTAGGCCTTGTAGCGCGGATTCTCCGCCAGCTTCTTCTTCATCTCCTCGTCCTGCTCTTCCTTCCAAGCCACGAAATTCTCCCGCTTCCACAGCTCCAGATGCAGGTACTCCTCGATCAGCTTCTCCTCCTGCGCCTCGAACTGATGCTGGCCCATTCCCAGGTGCCGGCGGATCAAATGCAGCTTCTGTTCCCGTCCATACGGCTGCTTCATCAGCGTGTAGCGCCAGAACCACTGGGCATGCCACACAATAAACGCGACTATTGTGTACGGGCAGATGAGCAGCTGCACCCACAGCACATCCCAGAGCGTCGGCTTCGCGTAGCCGCCCTTCACGTCCATCCGCTCCTCGATCACCCGCCTGATGATCCGCTCCAGCTCCTCGCGCTGCTCGTTCTTCGACATCCGATTCCTGCCCTTCTTCTGGATCCTCTCCTCAATCTCATCGCGTGCAATGTCCAGCGCCTGATTGCGATACTTCGGCACCGTGGCGAAGTACTTGATGGCCGAGTCGTAGCGCTGCCAGCCGGAATAGTACTGAATCACGGAGACAATGGTCAGCACGACCACGATGACCAGGCGCACATCCACTTTGGGTGCCACGCGGCGGCGGTAGTAGCGATAGTAGTGCGCATAGTAGGCGTCCGGGTTGTCCAGCATGTAGTCGTAGTCCGTGCGCGACTCCTCGTCGCGCAGGATCTCGTAGGCGGTGGCCACCAGCTTGAACTGCGTCTCCGCGGCGGCCTTCGCCTCGGCGCCGCGATGCAAATCGGGATGATGGCGCCTCGCCAGCTGGCGGTACGCCTTGCCGATCTCCGACTTGGACGACTCCCGCGTGACGCCCAGCACATCGTAGCAGTTGTCCTTGCCGCAGTACAGACCCTCCAGCAGGCCGAGGGCCAGCGTGGGCAGCAGGAGAACCAGGAGGAGCAGCAACCGCATTTTGGATGGGGGGATTGGGACTCAGCTTTCACCTGGACACGTGGAGGCGGGGGAGCAGCTGGCACTACTTGGGTGGCTCCGGATTAGACTCCGGAATGGATCAACTGCGGGTCGGAGGTCGGAGCAACTGGTGGCGGTGCGTTGGCGCTGCTCGTCCGTCTGCTCGGCGTCTGTCCGCCTGCTCAACTTGGTTAACTTTGGAGGTGGAGCGATGGAGAAATGGGATTTAGTCGATGGTTGGGGTTTTGCCTCGGCTAACTTAGAGGTGGAACATCGGTGTTTGGTTGGTGTCTCGGCTAACTGGTTAGAAACGTCGAGGGAACGAAAGTAATCGGTATTGAATAATACAAATCACCATACATGTGCTATATACCAAAATTTTTGTTTTTTCCTTCATGTTCTAAAAATAAAATAAACTTGTTTTCAGGATTTGTAATCAATCGTTATTTAAGATTTTTATTTTTGAAATCTCAATTAAAGATTATTTGTGAGTTTTTTCCATTAAAAAGCAAGATTTACATACAAATTTCCGAAGATGCGGAACTTGAATCTAATCATGAATGTCTCGCTAATCGAATTTCAGTAAGATGTGGACCGATCTTAATGAAACATACCTTATTTTAGGTAATTTTATCAGCTACTAATTAAAGTATTTTTTTAACATTAAAATCAAAAATAACCTTAAAATTGTTGCCTATATTTTCCATGTTTTCTTAATTTTGGGCAGAGTTAAGATTTTAACGGTAATAAGACAACATTTTGCTATAATTTTACGTTTCTATTATTTTTTCCACAAAAATATCGAGCTAATAAGGAAATTCTTTTTTTAGGGGACTTAAATTTTTATTCGAAATTACTCGCCTGTTATATATTAAGCTACTAGAATACACTTTAAACAAAATTATAATCAAATTTATAACAGCTTTTATTAGAGAGAAAATGTATATTTGTATTCACTAATTCTAATTATAAATTCTAAAAAAGTTTCGAAAACGTTATTAGTTTAGTGATCACTTCTACAAGGTAGCAGTTCACCGATACTTTGACCCATCACTAATCCAGACTTTCTATCGAGCTATCGAGTTGATTGCGCTCCAATTTTTCAAGAATCGGTAATAATAAAATTTTCAATTGAGAAATCAAATGGAATTCAGCCAGCATGTGGATGGCGTGCTCGTCACACTCGTGGACAACACGAAGTTCTTCAGGGAAATGGCCGATGGTGAGTGTGGCATAACCGTACGTACTTATAATCCCAATCCCTCTATGCCTCCAAACAGTCGTTTCCGAATTCGCTGACGGCGCGGAGATCCAAAAGCTGCTGGAGGAGGGCGTCAAGCGGCGCGTGGAGCAGGCCGAGAATCTCGTGCGGCTGAAGAGCAAGCACCAGGCGCTCGGCCAGGAGATGCAGAAGGTGCAGGGCGAGAGCGCCACTCTGGAGCAGTTCGAGGGGCTGTGGCGGGAGCGCAGCGAGGCGGTGGAGAAGAAGCGGATCAATGTGAAGAATATCACCGATTTCAGGAACTTCAAGCGGTCGGTGGAGGAGGCAACCTTCCCGGGATCGGCGCAGAATGGCCGGGTCAGTGGGAATGGTGCCCGGAATGGCAACAACAACGACGACGACGACGACGTCATCATCGAGGGCATCGAGGCGACCGGCGGCGAGATCTTCTCGCTCTACGATCCCTGGTCCAAGGCCCTCATGCGCAACCCCGTGCGCAACAGCATGTGCGGCCACATCTACGACCGCGACTCGGTGATGCTGATCATCAAGGACAACATCGGCATCCGGTGTCCGGTGCTCGGCTGCGCCAACAAGTCCTACATCCAGCCGGCGCATCTGGTCGAGGACGCCAACGTCCGGCGGCAGGTGCAGCAGCGGATGGCCGAGGAGGCGGCGGTGGATGAGGAGACCTCCGAGGAGGATGATGATGAGTAGGGTTTTAGCCGAATCTCAATACAAATAAGTATTTACTAAGAAAACCCCACCGATTTTCTAGTATTCCACGATAATCTTCAATCATTTTCATGTAAAAATTCATGTAAATCGAAAATAAGATTCGAATTTTGAGAATTCAGCAGGATCTTAAGTTTACCAACGTAGAAATTCGATGCCTACACAATTACAACATAAATTGTTATCGCTTTATAAGTAGGTTTATAATTTAAACGATCCAGAGATTGGATCAAACAGAAATGAAATGAAAAACGCTTCGAAATAAGTGATTTGAATACGACTTATAGTCTTATGAATACTTTTTTTTATTTAATACTCATGTGTATAAATAAATACTCGTTGAAAAAGAGTTACTACCGTATATTGTACTAAACAGAAAAGCAGATCTTTTTTTTGTAATTTTAAAAATACATTGTTTTTAAAAACTCATTGGGAAATGGGTCTTAAGTTTAAAAACGTACTCATTCCATAGCTAAACAATTACAACATAAATTGTTATCGCTAAACCTTTTAACCTTTTTACTTTAAATGATTCAGAGATTGGATCAAACACAAATAAAATGAAAAACGCTTTGAAATAAGTGATTAGAGTACGACTTATAGTCTTATGAATACCTATTTAATATTTAAGTGTATAAATAAATACTCGTTGAATAAGAGTTACTACAGAACTTTGAATTTTTTTAATTTAAAAAATCTTTTACTTTAAAAAACCCATTGGGAATTGAACTATCGGTAATGACACGAGCTAGGCCACCTCTAGTAGTGATGTTTTGGTAAGCAAGGGCAACCTATCGATAGCCGATATCGCGAGTCGGGCCACCTCTAATAGTAATGTTTTGGTAAACAACATTATTTTGGTTTAAATACTCGAAAAAAGGCCAAATATGAGCTACATACAGTTCGAGAGCGGCAGGGAGAAGGACAAGGCGCGCCAGGAGCTGCGGGAGGCGCGCTCGGAGATGCTGCAGCGGGCCCAGGAGCGGGCGGAGCTGCGCGGGCAGCGGGAGCGGCAGAAGGAGCTGCGCGGCGAAGGCGACTGGATGCTGCCGGCGGTGGCCAAAAAGCTGGAGAAGCCGGCCAAAAAGGCCAAGAAGAAGGGCTCCAAGCACAAGTCAAGGTCCAAGTCCAAGTCAAAGTCCTCCAAGAAGAGCAGGAGGCGGCACAGCAGCAGCAGCAGCGAGAGTTCCTCCTCATCCTCTGAAAGTTCCTCCTCCAGTGAGGAGGAAAAGCGGCGGAAGAAAAAGAAAAAGTCCAAGAGAAGCCGCAAGGAGAGCGAGGACGAAGACGAGTGGGTGGAGGCGCCACCACCTAACAAGGCGGAGCAGGAATCCCTCCAGCGGGACTCTTGGATGACCAGCGAGGCTCTCCTGCTGAAGACTTACTCCAAAGAACGCAAGGAGCCGGCCAAGCCGAACGAGAAGGCCCAGCAAATCGATGCCTACGATCCTGCGAAGAGCGGCCGCGAGCTGAATCCCTACTGGAAGAGCAATGGCACCGGTCTGCCGGGCTTCCAAAAGCCGCGGGATGAGGATGAGGGGCAGGACAAGCCTTTAAGAACCATTTCCGGTCAGGGATCCTCTCGCGGTTGGCGTAAACCGGTCGCCAAGGCCGCCAGTCCAGTTCCCTCCTCCTCTGATGGGGAAAAAGAGGAAGAGGAGCAGGAGGAGCAACCCAAACCCACTTCCACCTGCCTCACAGACGAGCAGATCAACGAACTAGCTGGAAAAGCCATCAAGGCGGAGCTCAAGGGCAAAAAGGAGCTGGCGGCGCAGCTCAATCAGCAGCTGGAGGCGGCGCGCAAGGAGCGAGCCGAGTTCATTGCCTCCGGACAGGCGAAACCCAAGGTTAGAGCAGCTAAAACTAAGCCAGCCGAGCATGTGCTGCTCACGAAGGTGGATCAGAGCGGCAATGTGCGTCCGCTGGTGCAGAAAAGCGATCCCAACGAACTCTATGGCGGAAGAAAGGGTCAAAAGAAGATGGAAACCCATGTGGATGGCCAGCGAGTGCGCTACTTTGCAGACGACGATCGCTACGACATCAAGCAGATGGTAAGTATAGATAGATAGTAAACCAAATAGGAATAGCTTAATAACCCTCTCTTTTAACCCACAGTTTGAGCGGGAAAAGCATGCCACAGCTGCAGAGGCCAATCTGCAATATGCAGACATTCTGGCCAAGCACAAGAATCCCAACGATGATTTAGAGGACATCTTTGCGGACCGCGTGCGCAAGCAGATCTCAGCGGGCGATGCCGAGCAGCGGGAGCTAAAGAGCGCCATTCGGGAGCACGAGAAGCTGGCGGCCAGTCTGGAGAACTGCGATCGCTGCTTTGACTCGCTTAAGCTAGACAAACAGCTGCTCGTTTCGCTGGGCGAGAAGATCTACCTGAGTTTGCCCTGGTATATGGGCCTCCAGAGCGGCCACTGCATCCTGACGACGCTGCAGCACGTCGCCTGCTGCACGCAGCTGGACGAGGATGCCTGGGAGGAGCTGAGCAACTTCCGCAAGGCGCTCACACGCATGTTCGCCGCGCGGCGGCAGGATGTCGTCTTCTACGAGATCGCCAACCGGCTGCACAGGCGGCCGCATCTCAGCGTGCACTGCATACCGATTCCCGCCAGCCAGGCGGAGATGGCGCCCTTCTACTTCAAGAAGGCCATCGAGGAGTCGGAGCAGGAGTGGTCCATCAACAGGCAGCTCGTCTCGCTGCGCCACAAGTCGCTGCGGGCGGCCATTCCCAAGGGTTTGCCCTATGTGTGGGTGCACTTCGGCATGGACGAGGGCTTCGCGCACGTCATCGAGGACGAGGAGCGCTTCCCGGCCAACTTCGCGCAGGAGATCATCGGCGGCATGCTGGAGCTCAATCCGAATGCCTGGCGCAAGCCGCGCAAGGAGCCCAATCCCATCGGAAAGGTCAAGTCCTTTGCCGCGAACTGGAAGAAGTTTGATAGTACGCAACAGGAGTAAATAGTTTTTGGATAGTTTATATTTTTGTGAATTTAAAGTTATTTTAAAATATTTAAATCCTTAAATTTGTGTTGAAGTAGATGCGAAATTTCCAGAACTGGAAGAAGTTTGATTGTACACAAAATGAATAAGAAGTTTTTTGGATAGTTTATATTTTTGTGAATTTAAAGCTCTTTTAAAATATTTAAATCTTTAAATTTGTGTTGAAGTAGATGTGAAATTCGGACAAATTAGTTCTACATACAACAACTATATGTTTAATTAGGAAAAAGTTTTATTGTACACATAATAAATAAACAAGAAATCTATCTAGATAGTTAATTATTTTGTGAATAAATTTAGAGCTCTTTTAAAATAGTAAAATCTATAAATTTGTTTTTAAGTAGATGAGAAATTCAGACATATAAGCTGTATATCCAAAAAACTAAATATTTTTTATAGAGAAGTTTATAGCAACCTTTTTAATTATATATTGATTAAATATAAAATAACAACAATTTTAATATATAAAAAATTAAGAAAAATCAAGTTATTTTGAAAACGATAGATTTTTCGATTACCAATAAACGATTTCTCCAGACATACAACTCTGGCTCTCAAACAGCTGACTGAAATTTACAAATATTTAGCAATTTGTTTTTAAATTAAAATAGCTTCACTTTAACTCACTAAATTGCCTCACAATGGATAGATAAATAGCCCAAGCTGCAGTTGGAAATTCTAGAAAACTCTGAAGAAGAAAAGACAGCCGGCTGTTTTATTGGGAAGCTGTTTCACTGGGAACTCTCCCAAGAGAATCGCTCGAAAACAAGGGAAATTCAATTTTCTTGAAGGGATTTCCAATCAATTACCACTTTCGAGTGAAAACTGGAATCTAGAGGTGACTGGGCAAGAGGAATCATCGCCCGGAACGCCCTGCATCCAATGCTCCGGGCGCATTTCGCCTGTCCCGTTCCACATCCTCATCCGCATCCGTAGCCATGTCCGCTGCTCGGCAGGATTGGCCGCTGTGATGGAGCGCTAGCCAGTGGCCAGGATGTGGCCAGCCGCTTTGACCCGCCTGCTGCGACGCCGGATAGTGTACATCGTGCTGGCGGTGCTGCTGCTGGTCTACGGATTCGGGCAGCTCTTTAATCAGGTGGGTAGCCTCTACCTGCATTTCTCCACTCTCCTCTAATTCCTGGCCATCCCCTAGGACTCCTTTGGCGGCCTGCACGGCGACGAGTATGTGGTGCAGCGCACCCGGCCGCTGCTCTGGACGCAGCAGCTCCTGGCGCCCGAGGAGCAGCTGAATCGCACGGAGTCACGATGCCGCAACTCCGTCCAGGGCCACCGGCTGCTGGCCGACGAGCGGGGCTTCGTGTGCCGGCGCGAGGAGCTGCTAGCCACCGGCTGCTGCAATCCGGAGCTGCCCGGCATTGGTTACTACAGCTGCCGCACCTGCAACGCGAGCAGCCACTGCTGCGGCGTCTACGAGTACTGCGTCTCCTGCTGCCTGCATCCCGGCCAGCAACCGCTGCTCGAGCGCGTCCTGCGGGCGCCCAATACCCCGAAGTACATCTTCGCCAGCGTGGCCGATCACTTCGAGCTGTGCCTGGTCAAGTGCCGCACCAATTCGCACTCCGTGGAGCACGAGAACAAGTACCGCGATGCGGCGGCCAAGCATTGCTACGGTCTCACCGAGGCCCACGAGTCCCAGCGCGATGTGGCGCCCCAGGGAGCCAGCCGGAGGTGACGGAGGTTGCTTCCACGGATGAGCTTTACCGCGAACTGTGCAGGAATTAGAAGGTTACTAGTATAACTCGGATTTTGCATATTTTTTACCTTTTTTGGTCCGATTTTTACCAACATTTCTAGGTAGGTTTCATATTTTTCAAGTATAATAAGTTCGCATGCATATCGGAAATATGCAAAAAACATATGCATAAAATATGCAAAATATGTGCATAAAATATGAAAAATATATGCAAAATATATGCGAACGACTGGTCCGATTTTTACCAAAATTTCTAGGTAGATGTCATATTTTTCAAATATAATAAACTCGGATGCATTTTGGAAATAGGCAAAATATATGCAAAAAAAAATATGCATAAAAATTGCAAAATATGCAAAATATATGCAAACAACTGGTCCGATTTTTACAAAAATGTCTAGGTTGATTTCATATTTGCAAATGTAATAAATTCGGAAGCATATCGGAAATATGCAAAATATATGTATAAAATATGCAAAATCTATGCGAACAACTGGAGGCTCAAATTTTTATCTCTAAGGAACCTTCGAGCCCCTTTTATTATTTTTGCCACCTTTTCGCCTACTCGTTGGAAATATAAATAGGGTATCCTTAAATTTGGGAACAAATTAGATATCTCAGAAATGACGAAAAGGTTAAAGGTAAATTAGGTTGGCTATGAAATGGTCAATCTTGAATAGTTTGCATATATTTTGCATATGAATATTATGCAAATATGGAAAAAAAATATGTCATTAATTTTAAACTATATTTTTATTGAAACGAACTTTGCTGTTTTCGGAATTAATCTATCTTTATCCTATAAAAATATGCAAAATCCGAGGTCTAGTTATTAGCTAGCAGCTTCGTTGGCAATTTAGGCTAGGTTTTAAGGAAAAAAGATTGATTTTCATTCAAATGAAATCCACTATTTCTTTTTTAGCTACTGTAGATACATCAGGATTCGTTTTTAAATGATCAACAGCTCTCTCAAGCAGCTTGCTTATATTATATTATATATATTTAAGACCGCCCGTATTGTAAATATTTCATAACTAGCAATAAGCCATAGCAAAGTGCAATTTGTGACCCCAAAACCCTTGTCTAAATAAATGTAAATAAATGAGCTGGCATTTTTCTTATAACTTTCTCAATTTCGCTTTTATTCTGCATTTCGAAAATAGAAATTTCTAAATGCTATTTGATATACATAAGTCTAAATGTTGTCTCGATGTGGATCAGTAATCGGTATTTCGAATCGGATTATATCAGATCGGATTAGAGCAGCGCAGAAGTAGCCGGATTCTCTATATGTCTAGTGGAACTTTTGGGAATATCTAGTTCAATTTTTTCTCTTAGGGTTACATTTTAACTAACGTTAAATAATTTCTTTATTTAATAAATAATTTTTGTAGTTATCAATTTGGAAATCCAAAGGGCCAGCAAAGAATTAACAGTACTTACACATTAAGTATTTCGGTTTATTAATAGTTCCGAGCTAATTTAACATTCAAGAAGTTTATCTTTTGGCTTTTCCAAATCTTTCTGCTTCATTTTCCGCATAGAATATTCTCGCTTTTCAAGTATTATTTTAAATGTAGGGTTTATTCATGATTTCCTCTTGCTATTTATAGTTTTTATTTTTACTTTAAATAGTAAATTTAAGCTTATCATATAAATATGTGAGGGGATTTTACAAATTACAATCTTTTGGGGCAAAAAAACACGGGGGACCAAGGATAATTAATATATAAAATTGCTAGACATAAAAAAAATGCATGGACGTTGAAAACAGACATCTACAAGAGTACAAAAAAATATATAAAAATAGTTAGCGGGTAAACATGCACTATTCTGTGGCTCCATCGTCATCTGGCTTAAGTTTATATATGTATATAAATGTATGTATAGTTTAGAATAATCGTTTTTTAAAGAGGAGCGGAAGTTACTTAAGAGAGAAAACTATTGTATTTAATAGGATGGGTCGATTGCTGAAGATTAAAAATAATAATTAATAGAAACTTGGGTGGTTCTATAAAGACCCTTCAATTATGGATCAAAATACAAAGTTTTGCCCTTCGTTTTCGCTTTAAAAGCTTTAAATAAAATCCCTAGAAATCGACCCACCCTTTTTGTCTGGTTTTTGGGGTTTCTTGTTCGCTTGCGCATGTTTTTCTGCTTACTTAATCTTAACTTTTTCTTCTCCACGGACTTCTACACTTTGTGTTTGTGCTCTTCTTGTTCTGGAATCTAGAATCTGGAATCTAGATTTACTGCTAAATATGCTTTTCCTTTTCCAACTTCTTCTGCATCTTGATCTTCATCTTCATCTTCATTGCGTTCTTTTAGTCTTAAGCCTACTCCTCACTTTCTTCTAATCGTAGTTAGTCCTCTTCCGATACAATTCTTAGTATATAAGCCTAGTTTATCTCCATCCGCTCCTCGTAATCCTCCTTCTCCTCCTCCTCCTCCTTCATCCAGTTGTCCTATTACCCCCGCTGCTTATCCTCCTACTTGTTGTGCAGACAGCCAGGCGGCAGCGGCGGCAATAGGCTGTCCCTTCCTCATTGCGGCGGCTGCTGGCCGTAGTAGCCGTATGCCCCGGTGGGCGGCGGTCCCTGCGGCGGTGCTCCTGGCGGCGGCATCTGTGCCCCGGCGGCTGGCCGATAGCCCTGGTAGCCCTGCGCCGGCGGCGGGTACTGTGCATAGCCGCCGGGCGCCTGGGGAGGCGGCTGATGGTAGGCGTGGCCGGGATAAGCGCTTCCCGGCGGCGGTGGTCCGTAGCCCTGCGGCGGTGGCGGATAAGGAGGAGCTCCTGGCGCCGGCTGGTATTGATTCGGCATCGGCGGTGTCGCTCCATTCGGCGGCGCCTGCTGCTGGCTGCCTTGACCCTGGGCATTCGGCGGTGCTCCTCCGCCGGCGGCTGATCCTCCAGCGGAGGGAGGCGGCTGCTGTGGCTGTTGATTGGGCGGCGGAGGAGCTCCTGGCTGCTGATTGTAGTTGCCTGGGGTCGAGTACGTGGGCTGCACCTGCGTGGGCAGCGGCGCCACGCCGGAAACCACGACGCCTGGTGGTGGTTGCTGTCCCGCATATTGCTGGTTGGCTCCTCCAGTTCCTGCTCCACTTGCTCCTCCTCCTTGGGGAGGCGGCGGCGTGGATTGCTGTGCATTGGGTCCATTGGGATTCGAGTTGCCACCGCCTGCTGCACTTCCTCCTTGCGGCGGAGGCGTCTGACTGGGCGCCGTGCTGCTGTAGCCTCCTCCCGGCGGCGCTGGCGGCGCTGCTCCGCTGGCGGGCTGCTGCTGCTGCTGCTGATACGCCTGGTAGGGACTCTGGCCGCTGCTCGTGGGCGGCGGCGGTGGCCAGTAGCCACTGGGCGGGGGTCCTCCGCCTGCTCCCGCCTGACCATACTGGCCGGGATTGGGCGGATAGCCCGGATAGCCGGAGTTCTGCGGCGGCGGCGGACCGTACTGACTTTGCGGAGGACCCGGTGGCCCACCCGGCTGCTGCTGCTGCTGTCCGCCGGTGGGCGGCTGACCAGGTGGAGGTCCCGGCGGCGGCTGTTGTCCCGGCTGTCCCGGAACCGGCGGCACCTGCTGGCTGTTCGGTGGCGGCGGATAGGCGCCCGGCGCGGCATTCGGCTGATAGCCATGACCAGCGGCTCCCGTCGCCGCTCCGGCGGGACCATGATGATAGCCACCCTGGGCGGCATTCGGCGGCCCCGGAGGCGGCGGTCCGTAGCCCTGGGCGGGCGGTCCGTAGGGATAGGCGCCCTGCGGCTGGTACTGCGACTGCGGCGGATAGCCGGGATAGTGGCCATGCTGCTGCTGCTGCTGCTGCTGGTAGCTCACGCGGTAGGGACTCTGTGGAGGAGGAACACCTGCTCCCACTTGGGGTTGAGCTCCTGGTTGCTGCTGCTGATTGGGCGGCTGCTGCTGCTGCGGCTGCTGGGGATTCTGTTGTCCCGCATTTAGAGGTCCATTGTTGGGACGCTGCTGATCTGCAAGGCAAAAAAGGGGGGTTTAAAATAGGAGTTCGTGTCCCGACTATCTAATAATCGAACCTCAGCTAAAGGGAGATATATTACATTTTGATTACGCATAACTTTTAAGTGAATGGTCCGATTTGAAAAATGTCTTCTACATTTTGATAGGCATAAATATGAACAACAAAATGGCATTTATAAAGAGGGGGGTTTAAAATAAGGGTTGCTGTCCCGACTGTCCAATAATCGAACCTCAGCTAAAGGGAGATGAATATCTTTAATTTTGATTACGCATAACTTTTTAAGGAATGATCCGATTTGAAAAATGTCTTCTACATTTCGAAAGGTATAAATATACACAACAAAATGGCATTTATACTTTTCGGAAATCTTTAAAGGTGTGCGCGCCAGACACATTTTCAAATCGTTAGTGGGCGATTGTGGGCGTGGCGGCCGGTTGAAATAAACTTGCGCTGCGTAGGAGGCCCAAAAATATGTGTGGGAAATCTCAACCTTCTAGCTTTTGTAGTTTCCGAGATCTCAGCGTTCAAACGGACAGACAGACGGATACAATATACCCTTTTACTCTATAATTAGCTAGATAATCTGGGGAACAAGATATATATTCCATAAATCAACATCACAGAGATTCAATTCCAAATTCTTCCAACAAATAGTCCATCCACATATCTTCTTCTTGCTCTACGCTTCGCATTTCTTGATCTTGACACTTACTGGGCGCTGCATTCGGATTGATGACGGACTGACCAGGTGGCTGGTTGCCTCCAGGTTGTCCCTGTCCCTGGGCGTTCCTATAAACAGGATGCTGCTGCTGCTGCTGCTGCGGATTCGCCTGGCTGACCTGCGGTCCCTGCTGTTGATTAACTACCGCAGCTGCTGCCGCCGCTGCTGCTGCGGCCTGCTGTTGCGCCGCCTGCTGTTGCGCCGCCGCTTGCTGTTGCGCCTGCTGCTGCTGCTGCTGAGATTGCTGTTGTGCTCCTGGCGGCAGGCCGGGATTGGGATGCTGCTGCTGCTGCGGCTGCTGGGCGCCGTAGGGCGGTTCGCCGCCATGCTGCTGCATGCCCATCTGGGGATGCGGTCCACTGGGAGGCGTCTGCTGGCCGCCCTGCTGCATGGCCTGCGTCTGGAGGATGTGCGGTGGCTGTAAAATAGGATAACGGATTAATTTGGATTCTAGGAGGCGGATCACAAACCCACCGGCAGTATCTGCGAGATATTCATGGCGGGATCGGCCAGCTGGGCCAGATAAACCAGATTGCGATGCAGGGCGACGTGGTAGGACATGCACTCCTGCGCCTTTCCCATGCTCTGAAAGTCCTGGATCGTCTGGATGAGTCCGCAGTTCTCGTCGAGCATCTTTTGGATCTGAGCGGAGTTGACCTGCGGCTGGAGGGCACCTCCTCCTCCGCCGCGTGGCGTGGTGGGTGGGGTGACCATTAGGCCGCCTGGCGAACCGGGAACGCCCATCGGCGGTCGCTGTTGCATGTTCATGGGCAGGACACCCCCTCCTCCTCCTCCCCCTCCCCCTGGACCCACCCCCGAGCCAGGAGGCTGCTGATTGGGCGCCGTATTGGGAGGCGGCTGTTGCAATTGCTGCTGTTGCGACTGCTGCTGTTGCGGCTGCTGCTGCTGTTGCGACTGTTGTTGTGGCGGGGGAGGCTGCTGTTGCGGCTGCTGCTGCTGCTGCTGCAACTGCTGCTGTTGCTGCTGCGGCGGTTGCGGCGAGTAAACTGCAGACATTTTACTGGCTGCAGTCTTCTTCTTCCGCTTGGGGGTTTTCTCCTGTTTTTCCACAATTTTAGCGGTTATTCTCGACCGTTGGGGAAAGGAAAATTTTCGCAGTGTGCGGCGTTTTCTTCACATACACACACGCGCTGGCCGACACACACAAATACACAGACACGGGGACAAGCACACGGCACACACACACAGAGGTAAAAAGATGAGGAAAGGTTTTTTCTATTTGCTTGCGGCGAAGGTAAAACAAACGCCGGCTTTGTAGAAAATCCACTGGTACTTTTTCTGGCTTTCACTGCTGCTACGGCGGCACAACTCACAACTCGGCACTGGGAAATGGCATATTTTTCCACAATTTTCCGACACTTTTTTCGCAAACGACGCTCCGTTAGTGCTGGACCAAACATCGATGTTTATGCGATACTATCGATGTTGCCCAGAAAAAACATGGCAAATAAATCGACCAAGTTATCGGTGCTTAGCAGGGACACCCACCTGAGTGATTAGTGCAATAGCGAGGTAAACAAAAAACGAAAAGCATTTGATTTGTTTATAAAATGCATTTTTAATAGGAAAATGTAAGTAAATATCTTTGAAAATCCGTGGAAAACTATCGTTAAATCCCTTTAATTTCAGGGCACAGCTGGAAATGTGCAGAACCTGCCTGGTTAGGTCGGAAGCTGATATGTTTAATATATTCGATGATGATCCCAACTATTTGGGCATTAAAATTGCGGATCTGCTGGGCGATTTGCGTTGTCCAGTTTCTCGGGGAGATTCCCTGCCGGAAACCATCTGCGGATCTTGCCTAAAGGAGGCCAAAAGTGCCTGCGAAACCATCAGAAAGTTTGAGAGGAGTTACCAGTTTTTAAAGGACATCAAAAAGGAGGATTTACTACCGGATCCAGATGATATTGTAAGGGATATTACAGTAGAAGTTTCTCTGAAATACGAACAATTCCAATTCCAGGGGAACCCTAATGATTTACCAATAGAAGGACCTTCAAAAGATGATATAGTACATTTTCCCAAGGAAGATTCACCAACAGATGAGCAATACCAAGTAGAAATTCCCAAGGAAGAGGAATTCCGGGTGAAGAACGAGCCCGTTGAAGAGGATTCTTCAGAGGAAGAGGACTTAAATCAGGTAGATTACCCCGTCAAAAGCGAGGATATTGAGGAGTATGTCCTAGAAAGAACCGAGGATGACATCCCCCCCAAACTCACCTGTCCGCATTGCCCCAAGCAATTTAGCCGATCATCCGGCCTGAAGGACCACATCATCGTTCACACGGAGGACAAACCCTTCGAGTGCTCCCGCTGCTCGAAGCGCTTCAAGTCGGCCAGGTATCTCAAGGAGCACCACACGATTCACACGGGCGAAAGGCCCTTCAAGTGCACCCACTGCTCGAATAGCTACCGCAAGAAGACCTGCCTGCAGCGGCACATTCAGACCTACACGGGCGTCCGACCCTTCAAGTGCACCCACTGCCCGAAGACCTTCGCCAAGGACTACGATTTGCAGTCGCACATCCGCAACTATTCGGGCGAAAAGCCCTACCTGTGCGCCGTCTGCTCGAAGACCCTCGCCACCCAGTCGGTGCTCAATGTCCACGCCCGCATCCACAGCGGCGACAAGCCCTTCAAGTGCACCCACTGCTCCAGGGACTTCGTGTGGAAGTCCAGCCTCCTGGGCCACATGCAGCGGCACTCCGCGGAGAACCCCTTCGCCTGCTCCGTCTGCCTAATGGCCTTCAAGGTGAAGACCTCGCTGCAGCGCCACATGAGGAGCCACGAGAAGAAGTAGATGATCTCACACATCTCATTTATGGGCATTTCTCCCAGCCAAAAAGCTTTAAACTTGATTGTTATTATTTCGAATTCTAATTAGCTTGCATCTCGGCTAAACTAAGAGATCTAAATGTAGTTTAATACATTTTAAGCCTAGCAATATACGCAAAAATTAGTTTTTTAAAATCGCATTCAAATATTTCATCAGAATTCGCTTAAATGGAAAAACCCCGAATAATTATTTTAAAGATATCTTGAGTACTAAAATTAAGAATGAATCAAGATTGTATATAATAAGCAGCCTAAATTTATTATTTACAATATTATTTATTACTTTTATTATTTATTTATTAAGCTAAAAATATGTAAAAAATATAGAAATAATGTTAAAATTGTAAATATGTATTTTATCCGAGACACAAGGATTCAATTTAATTTCCTTAAATGTAAATGAGTATTCATTTAACAAATAAATTTGTTAAAAGATGTACAAATATTTTAAACGATTTATATAGATTATTTGGGATTTCGGTCTAAATCTTGATCGTTTAAAAAAATCCAACCTTATCACTGATCCATTAGTGATCATGTTGTCGCCATCTCTTTCTGTTCTGTGACACTTGCCATCTCTATCGATTTTCATTTGCTTTCATTGTCGTTTATTTACCTAAAATCGTATCAGTTTCAGTTATTTTTGAAAATTTTCAAAATTTAGGAGCGCGGCCTCTAGCAAGAAGACCACGTGTTTCGAGATTAGAATCAAGGCCAGTTATGAAGCCCAACCGAATCCGTTTGGTAGTGGGACGCAGCGGAGCTCGATCCTTACTTCATAGAAATATCCTGTCCTCGATTATTGGTCGTCACAAATGTAGCTGCCTCACCCTCGAAAATGTGAGTTTATAACCTTAGCTTGGGTATTTTTAAGCTGCTGAGCTGTTGATTATTTTAGTAATATAAGGAATTATTCTTAATGGTTCCTGTTTCTATCTTTACGGAACTTAAAACATGTACTTAGCTTAAAACATGTACTTATTAATTATTTTTTTGTGATAAATTAGAATCTGGGTTTTTGGTAAAAATTTGAATTTTTTTCTGTTTGTTTGTTGCTGTAACTTGGCCAAAAATGGTCCTACACCAAAAATTAATACTGTTTTGACCAGATAACTAAATAATAAAAAAATCCATGACACTTTCAGGGTGATCTTGAAAAAATAAAATTTTCGTCAATTTTTAATTTTTTTATAAGGGGGTACATCATGATTTTTTACAAAAAAAGGCAAAAAATAAAAAGCCCAGGTTTAAATGCCAATCGATTGGCAATTTAATAACGAGTTCAGAAAGGTATGACAATCCATATTTGGATCAATATTTCCATTGTTACGGTCAAAAAAAGATGAAAAATTAGCATACTAATACTTGTATTTATGAGAAGTAGGCTGTGAGGAGTACTTCGGGTCGCACGACAGTTCCATTTGCATTCCTACCCAGTCAATCCAATATTCGAGGCAGTTCCCCCCTAAAAGAAATACCAATTTATATTATAACTATATATTTTAACACCAGCAAATGGGCTATTTTAACGAGTATGTTGTGCCCGTTGCAGACGTTCAAGTGCTACGATTTGGAGACGGGGCCCACGATGGACGTGGAGCTGTCGCGGGAGGACGCCCTGTCGATGTACACCAGGATGCTGGAGCTGCGGCGCTTCGAGACGGTGGCCGGGAACAGCTACAAGCAGCGGCTGATTCGTGGCTTCTGTCATTTGTACACGGGTCAGGAGGCGGTGGCCGTTGGGATGAAGGAGCGTTTGCGTCGCTGCGATTCGGTGATCACGGCCTATCGCTGCCATGCCTGGACCTATTTAATGGGCGTGTCCCTCTACGAGATCATGGCCGAGCTACTGGGCCTGCGAACCGGTTGCAGCCGGGGCAAAGGTGGCTCCATGCACATGTACGGCGAGAACTTCTATGGCGGCAACGGGATAGTGGGTGCCCAGGTGCCCGTGGGCACGGGCATTGGTCTGGCCCACAGTTATCGCAAGGATAACGGCGTCTGTGTGATCCTCTATGGCGACGGGGCGGCGAATCAGGGACAGGTCTTCGAGTCCTTCAACATGGCCAAGCTGTGGTGCCTGCCCTGCATCTTTGTCTGCGAGAACAATCACTACGGCATGGGCACCCACGAGAAGAGGGCCTCTGCCATGACGGAGTTCTACATGCGGGGTCAGTACATCCCGGGGCTCTGGGTCGATGGCAACCAGGTGCTCGCCGTGCGCAGTGCCACCCAGTTTGCCGTCGACTACGCTTTAAAAGAAGGACCCATTGTCCTGGAGATGAGCACGTATCGCTATGTGGGTCACTCCATGTCCGATCCTGGTACTTCCTATCGCTCCAGGAAGGAGGTGCAGGCGGTGCGCGAGTCCCGGGATCCCATCACCAGCTTTCGTAGCCAAATACTCACCCTCTGCCTGGCTGACGAGGAGGAGCTGAAGGCGCTGGAGGAGAGGACCAAGAAACAGGTCGACGCGGAGTGCAAGAGGGCGGCCAAGGACAAGGAGGTGGAGCTGCAGGAGCTGCACACGGACATCTATGCCAAGAATGTGGATGGCAAGATCCGCGGGGTGTCCAGGTTCGATCTGGAGCATATCAGGTTATCGGAGGTTTGTTTTGGGAAGCCCAGGAAGACGCCGGCCAGCGAGATCAAGGATGTGCCAGTGGGAGCGGCGGTGGATGCGGCCAAGGCCAAGGAGAGGAAGGCAGCCCAGGAGGCCAAGGAAGCCAAGGAGGGCCAGAAGAAGAAGAAGGAGGACTCCAAGGACTTGAAGAACTCCAAGGAACCCAAAGATCCCAAGCCAGTAGACCCAAAACCACCCACTGCTGCTGCCGCACCACCCGCTAAAACACCACCCTCGAAAGCACCACCCTCGAAAGCTCCTCCCGCCAAGAAAACACCACCCACCAAAGCCCCAACGGATCCCAAAAAGTAATGGCCCATCGGAGATCTCCACCCGGCTGAAAGTTTAGTGGATTTCTAAACCCAAGAAACTCGTTTAACTCAAGAACAGTTCAAAATAATATTGTACAAATTAAAGAAAAAGCGATGAAGCAAAATAATGAATAATTGTGTCGTTTTTTAATGGATTTTTTCAATGCAATGTTGAAGGCATTGTATTAAAATATTCAAATATTAATTTTGAGTGCTACTATGGCATTCTGAAAAATAATTACTTTTATGAGCGTAATATTATTTAAAGCGAGTTCAAAATTATGAAATTGTTAGAATTTATGATTTGAGTGTTTTTAGCTATTCTTATTTATAATTATATAATAATTATGCTCCGTTTTATATTTTTAATTAAATTTTTAAATAACTTATGCTTACTATTGAAAGCTTGTTCCCAGTGCTTTGGGTTAAAAAGTGCTTGTGATATTCGGAAAAAAGCTCTATAACTGCCACCTGTAAGAATTTCCCAGAATCTCCCATTCCACGTTCTTTAGCTGTTAATCAAGCGGATCTGAGGAGATCGCAACAGACCATTCATTTATCATTCGCTTAAATGGCGGTCGTGTCGCTAGCGGTATGATGAAGATATTTTCTTTTTCTTTTCCGTTTTCTTTTTCTTTTTCCCCGTGATGAGATGAGACCCACGCGCTGTTCGCCCTCGCCTTTGCCTTCCCTCTCGCTCGTACACCTGCCCCGATGTCTGGCCGTATGGCCGATATAGCCGATTGGGGAATCAGTCTCCTCGCGATGCTCTGGCGTTGATCTTCGCCGATCCGAGATCCTCTCTCTTCCCCAATTTCGGGTGTGTGTGCGTGTAAATAAAATATATTTTTTTAAATTATTTTTATTTGGTGATATAAAAAGTGATATAAAAAAGTGTTATTTGAAAACAAAATAATTAATATAAATAAAATATAAAATATAAGCGGCAATAATAATTTGATTTAAATAATTTAAATACTCGCATTTAGAAATAGGTTAATTCAATCGCTAATAGATAAAATAAATAATAAATAGATATTCTAGATAGTACATATAAAAAACCATTTAATTTATTATTTCCATTTAAATAGACACCATTAGATTTTTTATATAAAATACTTATAGCTTATATATAAAAAAAGCAATCAACATTTGAAATTGTCCAAATGAATCCTTACCCATTAAACAGTTTAATTTAATTTATATGCCAAAAATTAAATGACACATTAAATTATGGCGACAGTAAAAACGCATAGAAATCAACTGGAATAAACGTCAACTCGCATAACACAATCAAATATAATAATCAATTCCGTTTTTATCATAATATCTGCTGATTCCGATGACTGCACATTTGATCGGTTTTGAGCCTTTATTTAGATGCAAATATTTTGCATTCCAATTGCTATGATGCCTTTTTATTGCCACCTTTTTCCGTTGTCCCATCATTTCGGCCGGGCTTTTGCGTGAAAAAAACTACGAAAGCCCAACGGCGAGTGTCAAACAATTTTCATTTGAATTTTTTCTTCGTGCTTTTAGTTTTTTAGACCTCTTGTTTGGTTTCATGCTGGTTTTCTACTTAGCACACGAAAATGTATGAGAGCTGCTCTCTAGCTTCCTCCAAAGTTGCTTTATTTATTTTTATTTTTGAATACACGGTTTCTCGCTTGCGACACAAAAATAGTGCAAAATATTCCCGTTGGCTTTATTTGCTCATTTCTCTCATTTGGTTTCAATTGTTGACAATTGTGATGCCAGTGAACTGCAAAAATATGGAAAATTTTAAATTGAAACCCCATAAAAATATGTGAAAATGTTTGAATACATTAATTAATACTCAGTGACCAAGAACATAAAAGCATCTGTAATTGATGGATTTGCTGGCATGACCGAAATATAATTAACAGCAAAAACAATCGGCGAAAAAACAACAGTCAACAGAACAACTTTATTATTCCAGGTATTAATTTAATTAACATTAAAATCAGGTGAAATAAAGTTTTTATAATTAAATTTAGTTTTTAAAAATACAATGAAATGAAATATAATAAAATTTAAAAAGCCAAACAATTAAATTTCATTAAAAAGGAATTTATTTCAGATATATTAAGAACAAATGAAACCTTGTAAGAAATATCTATTGCAGAACATATTCTTACCCATTATTATTTTGAGCTCATCTCTTCGTGATCTTAACTTATTTAAATATTTCTTTCCGCCAATATATTTGAATATCTCTTGAGTATCAAGTCGAGAGCTGATCAAATACACTCAAATCAATTGAATTGTTTTGTGCGCTCTTCAAGTGACACACTTGAGCAGAATTTTCGAAAGATCATTCAGAAACATTTGGTAAAAATACAAATATACCCTCTGGCCGGCATTTGCACAAACGTATATATATATACATACAGGTATATAGTATGATCCAGGGCCAAGTCGAGTGGCATTTGTTCAGTATTTCCGCTACATTTGCATAGTCGGCGGGCGAGAAGAATTGGGTGGGTAAGGTGAACAGAATCGAGATGAAGATGCCACTCCACTAACCACTACCCACAAAGCCGATCAGAATATCCATTTCAATTTAAATTCCATCGCATCGCAAGAAATTTTCATTTTCATCTCCATTGGAGGAATGGGCTCCAGCCTCTGCGGCTAAAAAATAATGTGAAACACATGTGATGGAAAAATTAAGCCGCTTCGGGGCGTATGCAAACATGGCGTATACTCAACGCAATTGCCACAAGAGCCAGCGCAGCTAATCCGGCATCTAATAAATATAATCAAAATTGTTTGCCGCCGTCTCGAAGTCCCCAATTGAATAATTGAACAATCCAACGCGCTGGCGTTTTTTCCTCAACTTTTTTGTTTGAATCTCCTCAAAGAAGATCTATTCATTCGTTTTGGCTGTGGGATCGGAAGAACAAACTGGTTGGGTTTGATCTTGGAATGTAGATCAAGGTGCAGGAGCCCTGTTAATGCTGATTTATGCGACTTAATAATGTAGAACAATGAGTCTTTGTTTTAGGTAATTTATGGATTCTGTTCTTTGGGTTTTCGGAAACTGTAATAAGTAATTAAATCATTTGCTACCTATATATTTTTTGCAGGCTTTAAATGTATCTTTATAAAAACACTAAAAAAATGGTCTAAAGTTATAATATTTAAAAACTTATACTTCCGATGATTCGTATTGATTTTTGCATCTATTTTTTATTTTGTATATGCATTTAAAAAATTTGTCATATTTTAAATTTCTTACTTATATTTTCGCAATGTTTTTTCCCATCTTTTTTAAATTTAAAATGATTTATTTAAATATTTATTAAAATAGATACATTTATAAAACTAGTGATTGTTGAAGAATTATGCCCTGATCTTCGCAATGTTTATGTTCTACTGCTTTTCCCCTATTCTTTTACTTTTTGCCCATCTTTTTCGGCACGATTTCCTATCTGCCCTCTTCGGCGATGAAAAAAATAAACTGATGACGCGACCTTGGGTTAAAATAGATTTTTATGCGCAACATTTATATTTATTTATTTTGGTTTCCATTGGACGCGATCGCCGCACGTCACCAAATGCCAAGCAATTTGAATATTTTTCATCTGAATTTGTTTCGATGCCGCTCCTAACCCCTTTAACACCCCGCGCACCCCCTTAACCCATTGAAACTGTTGGCCAAGAATGCAGCTGGTATCGAGCGTACGGAGATAAGATCTCTGAATTCAAGTGGAAATGCATTTACATTCCCCAAGCCAAGTGCAAATTTAAATCAAATGAGGCGGTCAGCAAATTGAAATTAAATTGCCAGTGGAAGGGGATGGCGCAAATTGTGAGATAAAATGCTCAACGTATCGCTGGATGCTGAAACATTTTCAGCCGCAAATCAATAATTTTTAATGCCTTTTTCCTTTTTCCATTGTTTGGAGGCCGATTCTCTTGTAAATATAAAACGAAAATCTGCTCAAATGGCCAGCGTTGGCTATTATTTCTTTTATGGATTTTTAATTGGAAGCTAGCCCGCAATTGATCAGAAAAATCTAGTCATAAACATTTATTATTGCAAGGTTATTAACTTTGTGAAGCCAGTAAAGGAAATTTTAAAATAAAAAATAAAATACCATTTGACTAAAATTTATAATTAATAAACAAATAAAACAGCATTTTCTGTGACGAAAATGTGCGTATAAAATTATTATGAAAATGACAAAATTCCTGACAATTAGTCAACCACACAAGGCAGGAATAACATTTCGGCCGCATGTGAATAAAGCCATAAAAAGTGGATTAAATGGTAGAAATAACTGAGGCAAAAATGGGGCAAAATGCGCATAAATGCATTTAAGAGAATGACAATATTATTTATTTAATTTGTTTTGCTCATACCAAAAATAGAAACCGAAAGGAAGACGGGCAGAAAAGACCAAGAAATGAAAACCGAATCACGAAAATCGAGAGGCGAACGTGACAAAAAGATACAGATACACAAAACCAGAGACAAACTAATGATTCTAAGAACAACAGAGGAGTGAAAACCCAAATAAAGAGCAGCAAACGACGCACAGATGACAGAAAATATCAAATCAAATGCATTCGGCTGGCAGGTGAAACATGACAGCAAAGATGGGAGGAAAATAAAAGGGGTGAAGGGGAAAAGCCATATCCATTAGGCTATGGACACTGAATCAGCAGCCGTCTAATGACGAACCCCTCAACCAAAATAAACAGTCGAAAAAGCGAGAGGAAGTACTAAAACCTCTGACAGCCCAATGCCGTTTGGCAATATCTCTTAGCCCCTCAGAGAAAAAAAACCAGGGAAATCGGAACAGCAGGGAAAAGTCTTCGGAAAATGACTCAGCCAAAGCGAATTATCTACAGGTACCTAATACAACAGCGACGGCAAAAATCTATTATAATTTTGACAGTCGAGTTCCGTTTGGAACACAAATATCTTTTACGCACTTAACAAAAATTTGTAGCAAAAAGAGCGGCAAGTAA